CAGAAGCTTCTAAAACTTTATCAAATGAGTACAATCTAATTTATTGAAGTTCTAGTATGTGCTAGAACTATCCCAGCACCTTTTTTTTTTTAAAGAGAGAGAGTGAGAGAGAGAGAGAGAAAGAGAGAATTTTTTAATATTTATTTTTTAGTTTTCGGCGGACACAACATCTTTGTATGTGGTGCTGAGGATCGAACCCGGGCCGCACGCATGCCAGGCGAGCGCGCTATTGCTTGAGCCACATCCCCAGCCCAATCCCAGCACCTTAATCCCATTTCACTAGTCCTCTCAAATGCCTTGTGGAATGGGTATGAATATAACCATTTATAAATGAGTAAACTGAAATTTCTAGAGCCATAGCCACATATTTACAAAACAAAAGAGCCGAGAACAGAACTCAGTCATATTTGGTCTTTGAAGCATATCATCATTTTTTTTTCATGATGTCTTCAAAGTATGATAATAAATTTTACTTTATTTCTGGTTATCTCCATTTGAAAATAGTTTTTAAACACTAATCTGTTTCCAGAGTCTTATTCAATATTAGCAATTTTATGGAGCAAACATTTACACCATAGAAATCTGACATTTAAAGCAAGCTTTCAGTTAATTTTTCTGAATTAAAGCATGTTCCTCCAATTGCCTGTTCATCTAAATTTGTGGTTTCTTACACAAAGACATACATGTCTATATACTAATGCTTTAAAAATAAAAATGTCAGAAAAGATCTTACCTTAGGTCTATATTTTATATGACTATACCAAAGCCAAAAAAAAAAAAAAGTACCTCTTTTTAGCATACCTGTTTCAATGTGTTGGATAATGTCATAATCATTCAGTTTTTTAGCTCCTTGTAAACAGTTCCATTAACCACATATTTATCTCCCAGGACATTTACAATGACCTACGCAAGGTAGGCATTGAGTTTTGGTTGAATGAATAAATTAAAAAACAAAAAGAAACCAGAAATTATATTGAATAGTTTATTTTTAAAAGCACCAATTAGTTATTTTTAATATTTGGTGACACATAAAGCAATAGCAGGCATAATAGATTATGCACAGATATATAATATTCCCATTTAAGAATATGTAGACTAAGCCCTAATTCGCTATTTCCTTGTTATAATAAGGAAAGAATAAATTTAGGACTTTTTTTTTGGACAGTTTTTGATAAAGAAAGCCAAGAAAGGGGAATAATGCAAAGAAGGAACAAAAATAACTCTCAAGAGGGTTGATTATTAGAATAAATCTGAGATGAATTTAAATATTTATTTTTATTTATTATAGAAAGAAAAGTATACTTGTGAAAATTAATGCTGAAAAACAAAGAGAACATTGCCACCTTAAGCTCAGATATCACACAAGGCCAGAACACTTGGATAATTGCTAATAAAACATCTGGTATTGATGCAAAATCCCACAAAGGGAGATTAAAGGTCTAGAAACTTAAGTTTAGAAATACAGGAATAAGGTATTCTAGAAAGGAAACAATCTGTTTTTAAGGCTCTCGTTGTGCTTCACTGCAATCAAGAATTACGGAATGCAATGGATACTCATAATGGGCAGAAATCATAAGAGAGTAAATTATATCCACTACATTTCTAATGTAGCCATCATTAAAAGTGAGTAGCTGCATGAAAGTAGGATCTTAGAATAAAATATTACAATTTTTCTGCCTCTGGATTTTAGGGTGAAAAAAAATCAATAAAATTTCTAGAACAGTCAACCTCCAATTTTGATTCACATGTAAAATGTTAAATAAAATTTATGAACTGTGGATACAGCTCAATTGGTACGGTGCTTGCCTTGCATGCCAAGGCCCTGGGTTCTAATCCCCAGCACCAGGAAAAAAAAAAAAATGAGGCATTGGTTTAGATTCAGCTCCCTGCACTAGGCCCAACAGACCAAACCAAAATGGAGTTACTCATGCTGGAGTTCAATACTGACAAGCTAAAAACAAGTTGTTTATTTGACCTTCTAAGACTCTGGGGTTAGGGGGAGTTAGATAATAGCCAGATCCCCAAACAGGTCAGTTCTGGCTAACATGAAAAGGAAATCCCTTCTAATTCAACCTTTACAGAAAAATAACTTTGAAATAACCATCCACTTTTTGTTCTGTTTCTGCTTTCCTTGGCTCTTTTGTCTTATAAAGCCAACCTCTTCGCTCAGCTCACCAGTATATTTTTTCATAAAATGAGGTGTTGCCCAATTCTACAATCATAAATAAATCAATTAAGATATTTAAAACTAAATTCGTTGCAATTGTCTTTGGAGAAAAATACAAAAACAATGTAACAATATAAAGTATGTAAAATATTATGGCTACTTCACTATTTTCAGAATTCTGTAGGTAGAAAAATAAATATCTGTGGGAAATAAAAATAGTAACCACTCATATTACCTAATTAGATAATCACAAATTACCTAACTACCAAATCACAGAGCAAAATTAAGACAATATTTAAAATTTACACTTGTATAAATGTTGTATAATCCCACCTATCACGTTTAAAAAAAATACACTAGTCTCAAACCCTTATATATCTTGAGGCAAATTCTCATCTACAAGGACTGTATAAGAAACATTTCTCATCCCAAAACATTACATAATTAACATTTTCTGTATATTTATTTTTATTATTACTTTTTGCTCTACTGAGAACTAAACCCACTGTTACTCTACCACTAAGCTACATCCCCAGACCTTTTTATTTTGAGACAGGGTCTTGCTAAGTTGCCTGGGCTAGCCTCAAACTTATGATTTTTCCTGCCTCAGCCTCCCCAAAGCAAGGATTACAGCTGGGTGACACATGTTCGGCTTTCCTGGACTTTTAAAATCTACAAACCAAGAACTATAGTAAAATCTTGGAGGAATAGGACTTAGTCTTACATTAACATAGTCCTGTGAAAAAAACTCTAAAAAAGGATGTGACTCTGCAACATGTAATTGATTCTTCAAGAAATAATTCCTAAAATGAAAGTCAAGAAATAAAACTTTATGTATTTGACTAACTTATTATGTACAAAAGAGTAGCTTTATCCTCTCATTAATATGTGATCTGACTTTCTAATGATAAACACATGCAAATGACCTGAAAAATTTTTATAAATATCTGAGAAAGAGACTTATGATTTAGCAGCTATATTTGCTTACACATTTTCTTAATACTATTGGTAAAAAGAAAAAAACAAAAAACAAAAAACACTGTCACAGCTAAGGGATCTTGTCCCAGTCTCCACCAGCACTGAAAATATTTACTGTTTTGTGGCTTTACTGCAACTGTGGGTACATTTAATAAGAATTACTTTGTGCCATAAATGAGGATAAAATCTAAATATGAATAATATTCCATTTAAATTATGAATTTTCAAATGCAGTTTGCATATCAATGGCAATTGTGAATGATTCTCTCTATATGCATATCACTGAACCATAACAAATGCTTAAGTCTAATTTTCTTGTTCTAATTCTATTTGAAAAAACTGATCAATCTAAAATCTCCCATTCACATACTTCTGATTTCATTTTCTAAATGACAAAGTGCAGATGATTTTCTCACTCAGATGACAAAATTATGTTCATCAGGGACTATCAGAGTCATAGCCTAAGCTGCTGCTACCTGCAAAGTGCCAGGCTCAGTCCTGCGCAAAATACAAAGACAACTGACTGATTGGTATAAAAAGAAGACATGTATAAACAACAATAATTTAAGAAAGTCTGTGTGAAAGAAGCCCTAGAATGTGGATGAGAAATATACTGATTCTAGCTAAAAGGAAGCCAATGTATCCTCCTTTGGGTAGAAGAGAAGGAAAAATAATGGAATTCTATACACTTGTGAGGGAGTAAAGAGAAAATCTGTGATCATGCTCCTCAATAATTATGATTTCTTGTATTAGATATGGGCTGTCATGGTACATAAGGTAAGAATGACGCAGGGATAGGAATAGACTCCTGCTAGAGTAATGTCACATAAACTCTGTAGTATTAAAATGGCTATGGAAAACTGAGGTAGGCTGGGCTCTAAATATCTGTGCATAAGTACCAGAGTGGCACTTACCACAGATAAGAAGCCTCTTTTCTGCACAGTGACAGAAGTCACTTTATCAACTGAGAGGATCCAAATAAAATTTGGAGTTCAAATCACACACAGGAGTGTTAAAATTCCCAAAGCAACTTCAAAACTGAAGGAAAAATGAAGAGTTACCATTTTAAAACTCCTCCTCAAAGTTACTATACTAAGTAAATCTTTGCTAGTTTATAGCACTACACAGTGCTTTATTTTTCAGCCTATTAGGTAAATCATTGCAAAATTTTGTAGTCAGTTATCATAGGCTATAAAGGTTTGCATTTCAGACTATATTCTGCAAGAATACGAAATAGATGAAACTGCTGCCACCTGTACATTTTATATATTACCTTATACTTTGACAACTGCATATTAATGCAGAACACTGCCCTCTCTTTTAATCTATTTTCTTTCAGTACGCCATAATTAAGACTTGGTCAATCAAAAATAATAATTAAAAAGGAGAGCTATTATACAAATCTAAAAAAATTAACATTTTCTCAGCTTGAATGGAAAAAGTGTTGATATCTAGCAAACAAATCTCCCAAGAAATAAAAAAAATGCAAATGTCCTAATAAAGATGGGTAAATAGGGCATAAATATTTCCTATTTTCATCATCATATACAGAAAACAATATATAGTTCATTTTAATCACTGACAAAGCTACAGTTTCATGCGACAGACAACTTTCAGTGTCTTATATTTAAAAGGTTTACTTAAGATCCATGCTTTACCAGCTTTATAAATATGTCACAAGTACCAATAACAGAAGAGTATTTCATTTTACAGTGAAAAGATGTCAGGAAAATACAGCCATATATATGCATGTATATTTATGTAGGTAGAGATACATATATACACATCCCTACTTCAAAATAATTTGTCAAGCAAGAAGAAATTACTAAAGGGGATTATATTTGAAATAACTTACCTTACGGCCATCACTTGCATGGCAATTCACATTTAGAGGAGTCAGTAAAGCCATTAGTTTTTCTTCATTACCACTCCTATAAAAAGGTAGCAAGTCAATTTCTATAAAATTGTAGGAGTTTCTTATGAATATTTACGGATATTTTTTCATAAGAGAGTGGAAAATAATGGTTTGCTTTAATTCCTTTTGTATGGATTCCAATGAATCTCTTTTCAATATTCAAATTAGTATTTTCCCAATTAATTGCTGTTAATCATTTAGTGATACATCTTGGAAAATGCAGCTGTCAACATTTTTATGTTATATATCTATACAAAGTCATCATCTTAATTACAAGCAAACTTTATTCTAATAAATAATCTAAAACACTAGAGTTTAAAAAAATATAGAAAATGTTGTAAAGAGCAAATCAACTAAACTACAACCAACCAAGATAAAACAATAAAAATTTTGACATTTATGTCCCTCATTTGAGGTTTGATAGAAAAAAATCTTCAAATGAAAATGAAGATATAGGTATTTATACACTCCAAGAATATCATTTGAAAGGCCAGGCAACTAAGGTTTGCAGGTAGCTTAAGAAACATTTCAAATAAAATTAACCTGATAATCATCACCAAAGTGAAAATTTTCATCATTATATACATTAATCATGTAAAATAAAGTATTCAAAGATTTATTATAAGATCTAAATTGCATTATTGCATAAAATCCAAGCAAGACAATAACATGCTACAATTTTTATAGACCTCCACCTGCCCTCCCCCTTTTTCTCTCTTAGATGCATTATACTCACTTAAAATGAATGGAATCACTTACCTAGCAGCTTCTAGGAGTTCGTCTTTCTTGTATTCACCTAGATGATTGCAAAATATCATGCTGTTAGCATTTGGCAGAAGACAGATTAAGAAATGCAGTAGGCAGCAAATAGAGAATTAAATAGAGAAGAACAGAAAAAGAGAGTCCACACCCCGCTGGGTGATGGAGCCGTGACGCTAGCCAGCTTGTGAAGGCAGCATCACCAGTGCCTTGGAGACGGGCAGCAAATTGACGCAGCTCCTTGTCCAATCCTCAGATGAAATAGCTTTCTTCAGACAACCAATGAATGCTAAATCTCGTGTCCAGAAACACATTCCCTCTGATAACAGCATGCCAGCTGAAGACAATGTCCCCTCTCCCCTTTTCTATTCAGGCTGTCACAGGATACTTGTGAAGCATAATACATTCTGAGACAAAAGCAAAATAGTGTGGCTTTTTAAAGGTACAAATTACCAATCTTCAAAAAAAAAAAAAACTCAGTTTCATTTGTAATGACACGGAAAGTTTCTTTTTAATTAATTACCATTACTGAGCTTTATAGCTGCAGAATGCAAATACCAGAACCACGAAGGCTCTGCCTCGATAGGGAAGGTCTGTAGACTAGAAATACGTGAACTACGTACCAAATGCTATGAACCTCTTGGAGGCAGCGCTCCAAAACCAAAACAGGGAATACATTCTTAAATGGCAATAACATTCTAACACGCTTTAACCTTTATACAACTTCAATACCAAATTTTAACAAATAATTGAATGTATTTTTTAAAAGGAGGTTGGCATCTCTGCGGATAAGCAGATATCCAGTTATTTGATATGGACAATTTCCCCTCCTTCTATATTTTCACAATAGATTTAAAAATATATCAAAAACTGAAAGTAGAAATATTATTAAAAACCTTCCATAATAAATTTCTTAGGGTATTCAAGACCTAACAAGATATATATATATCTTGTTAGGTCTTGTTTTTTTTTTTGCAAGCTCATTTGAAGGACAAGGAGTTTTAATAACACAGTGTTTGTTCAGTCAATAAATAAAAAGAACAGCCAGGACTATGATTCAGCTATAATACACTGACTCAGTTTGCTGTATCATTAAAAAAATAATTATACAAAGTGTCTTAACAAATCATTATGTGAAGATATTAAGTACACATAAGAAAAAAATTTTAGATTAAATGAAAAGTTATAATTTTAATATGAAATAAGCTTAAATTCTTTTAAAAAAATCTTAACATGTAAACATGAACTTTTTCACATTTTTGTTTTGCTATAGAATGCATTATATTGATGCAAATGCTATAAAGATACCTCAGGACCACAAAGTACATGTTTAAATTCTATAGCCCAGGCTGGAAATGCAGCTCGGAGGTAGAGTGCTTGCCTAAGATATACAAGGCCCTGGGTTCCATTTCCGGTAAAATACACACGAGGGGTGGGGGACATTATAACCCACTAATAGCAAAAATGCTTTAGCTTTAACTTCTTTTGCCTCATAATTAGGTTAAAATCTGTAAACTATAATCAGGAGTTTCAAATAAGGAGAAGTTATAAAATACCTCTTTTTTGCTTATAGAGATTTTGTATATCAATAAAATCATAGATTCAACAGTATACATCCATAAACTAGAATGCACAATTTCATAATCATAGATTTGTTCCTTTCAATTTTCAATTATACTGTAAAAGTTATATTATTATATCTTCTAGCCAGTAAGACTCAAAGCTAAAAACCTATTTTTATTAAATATTTAAGGTAGCAATGTGGAAGTTGAACATTTTAGGTAAGAATATAGACGTTAGAAGTAAATTTTAAAAGCCTCTTGGAGGAAAATGGCATAACCCATACCCTCAAATGGCTGAAGAATAAATATATAAGTAAACCAAATATGGTATATATCTGTAAAAGTCATTCATTCATTTGGAAGGCCTATATGGCAGGTTCAAGAAAACAAAAGACAATAGTATCTCTGACCTCAAGGAATACTCTAATTATTAAAGATGGACAAGTAAACAAATGATTACAAAAGAATATGAGAAGATCTTATAAAATGCTAAGCATTTACTGGCTAGTTTAAATGAAATTAGTAAGAGACAGGGTAAACTGTAGTTTAAGAAAACCTTTCTGGAATACGGGATTGTTGAGCACTGTGAAGGAAGAACAGGTGATTCACAAGTGAACAAGGGTGGAGGAGACGGAAGCAACCACAGTAAATGAAATGAGGAAGGAAATGGTAGCTCTATAAACCTGAACAAAGGCCACTTGCTGGGGAATGGCTGAGAATGAGGCAGAGAATAAATGAAAAGATCATGTATGGCTCCATAAATTAAGAAGTCTTAACTTTATTTTGAAAGCAATGAATAAATACTGAGATATTTTAATAAGGAAAGTACAAAACCTATTTAAAGAGCTGCAAGTTTCATGATTACATAAATATTTTTAAACGTCAGTAAACTTTTATAGGGGAGGAAAGTAGCAGAAAAAGAGAACTAAATTCTGATACAATTTTTATTTTGGAGGAAATATAAACATCTTCAAATAGAGTAAAACACATTAACATTGTGAACTGGAAGTAGTTACTAGTGAAAATTAAGTCATAGTGAAACATGACTCCAATAAGCCAGGTAATAAAACTGCAGAGTACTTGGGGTCCTCAAGGTTCAAATCAGTCTACCTATGTAAGTGTCTCATCATGCATAGCTTATTGATGTTTTCACTAAAAGGTACATTTCTACAAAAATGTTATTCCTTCCTGGAGAAGCTGATAAGACCAGCTTTGGAAAAGAAATATATCAAGGCATCTAACAGAATATTACAAATGACTTTCTATTCTTACTGTTGGAGAGCCTAGTACTTTAATCAGCTTTTCTGCAGTACATCCCAGCATCCACTATCTGGTGCCCAAGGACCACAATCCACAAACAACTGAAGCTATTTTTCAAATGCTACCTCTTAGGAACAACTGACATAATGAATTCAGAGCCCCTCATACACTCTGACAACAAATTTGAGCTACTTACTTAACAGTCAAACCTCCAGATCTATTTCATTTTAGCTGAGAAACTGAAAATATTCTAGCTGAGACTATGATGCTCTATGGAGCATTTATATTCTTTAATAACATCCAGATAAAGACTAGCAATAGATCAGCTAGAAAGGAAACTAGGCAATTATACTTAAGATAATAGCAGCCAGAATGGAGATAATAGATGGCTTAACATTTTTATTAGAATAAAGTGGGATTAAGAAAAATAAGCGAAAAAGTTTACTTTCTGAAGTCTGAATTGTCATTATTAGTCAAAACTAATAAAACATGTAAAGATAAACACCCCTATACAGATAGAAAAATTAATTTTTTTAAAAAAACTGTTATCAGAATGAAGTTTAAAAATAAAAACCCTTTCACATTTCTCTGAGATAGTTGGAAACAATCTTTACTTAGTATAAAGGCAAAACTGCCTTCTGAATAAAAATGATTTTTTATTTAGTTTTTTAATATCATAAGGAATTTTTATCTGTTTCTTTAGCAACAGACAGGATCAAAGTAAGCTTAGTTTTGTAAAAATTAGTCATCTGATTTTGTTGGGATGGAAAAGCATGGAAAGATTGTAAACATGGACTCAAACTCTTAAAGCAACAAGGGACTGAAAAAAAATTCTGATTTTTTTTTTGCTTTTCTCTACTTTCAAATCCCACACAATACATCTTGCTTTGTATAAAACACAGGGAATGCAACTTGAAAAGTCACCATTATCCATATCACCTCACCCCCAATTCAGGAAAGCTCTAAGGGATCATCTACAACATTCATTTACATTTAATGAAACAGTGCTACGGCAGTTAAATGGACTAAGATTAGATTATCTACTAATCTGGGGGTTAATAAGAGAATAAGTGAATAAAATTAATAAGTGAATGTTATCCAATAATCTGTCAGACCATGAACTTGGCTTATATATTAGCACAGACTCACTAAATCTGGGCTTTGGAAGATGTGATATACAAAATAATAATGGCTAGAAGATAATTTTATGAAACAAAGACAATCACCAACTTTAAAAAGCTTAAATATATTAAAATAACAAGTCAAAAATTTCCATCAAAACTAAAAGCATTTGAACTTTCAGATGAGCTTGCAAACATGGGCCACTGGGCCAAGGGAAAAGAATGAAGAAAATTCATTCTGGCTCTAGTCAAACGGTCAATGTATTTTGCATTTCCCATAGCATGTTTTAATTCCTGGACTTATTAGGTATCTCGAGGGAAGAGCTATGTAAAGACTTCAGTCAAGAATCTCAATTACCAAGTTAATGTTGGGACTCTTGTGTTGCTAAGTGCTAAGCAGTATTATAAATTGATAATTCTGATACAGATATCTTTTTTCAAGGTACGAACAAATAAAGTAATTGATTCATGGAGCTAAACCAATAGCCCATTTGGGGAATAAAATATTAATTTAGGTGACATAATGCATTGCATTTTCACTAACAGATTTGAAAATTCAGAACCACCTATGTGGTTGTGGAAAGAATTTAGCTAAAAAACCAGGAAATAATCTAATCTTAACATGTTAAAGTTAAGTTTTCCACCAAAAGCAATTTCCAGACAGATATTCTACCATGAATGAATTTATGAATTATTATTTTCACTCTGGAATCTTTCATAAATATTTTCCAAACAACAGGGTAAAAAACTACAAAGCTACTAGAGCTCTCAATGTCTTTCTCCTACTTTTGAATTCTATCAAATTTTCCCACTTATTCTGATATTGGCTTCAAAGCAATAAGGCACTAAAAAAGAATTCTGATCTTTTTTTTCCTGAACTTATTAGGTATCTCCAATTAGCGTCAAAGCCAATCCCCAGTTAAGTCTAGAATCAAGATCAAACTAAACATTTCACACCCCTTATAAAATCTGGGGCCTTGAAACATTGGTTGGAGGACCTTTTCTACTATTGTCTCCTATAGTTTTGACAAATTTTAACATTAGTTAGCATTAAACATCAACTGTGCTTAATATCAACATAATCTCTAAGTTAT